ATGGGTCTGTCGCCACATATGACGCAATAACATCTTTGACATGTACCTTGTGAAATGTGGTACAAAGAAAATTCTCCTGGGATTCCGAACACGCTTGCCTACTCCTGTAGGAATGCTGCAAAACATCCAGACTGCAAAGGCGTATTGGCTTTTTATTCAATAGGCCCCTTCACATAGTGACATTCCTACCCACTACAAACAAGTATAAACAGTTACACTGAGTCTATTGTTTATGACCTGGGCGCCACGGCGGCGAGATATTAACTGCTTCGCCTGGTATACATGAGGTCGTGGGTTCGATGCCGACCCCGACGCATGCGTATGTGGAGTTTGCATGTTCTCCCCCCGTGGTCGCGTGGATTTTTCTCCGGGTCCCCCGGTTATTCCCTCATGCGTTTAAGAGTATTTGGCTGCTATCAATTTCCACTGGACGATAAGCCACTTCTTTGAGCTTTAATTTGTGGCCAGGTCGCTTCTGGAAAAAAGCTACAAAGCTCAGCTGGGGCTTACCTGGTAAAATATAAAGTTTAGTTTAGAATGTATTATGTTGCACTTCTTTCCCACCGTACATGGACCACAGTGCTAAGCGGAGGTGCGGGGGAAGGACAATAAACTAAACACAAACAGCAGTTCGAAAGAAGTGAGTTAGTCAATCTAGATGATGTAAAAGTGAATAGCTCCACTGGCTGGAGCTATTCACACTTTTGAACGCGCTTCACGCGTGGACCGTCTTGGTTCGATGATTCGCCAAAAGCCGCTGCTGGCGACGATGACCGGAGTTCGTGTAATGATGGTTTATGTTCCTTGACGAGATCGGCAAGGATGGCATCGCCTCCACGCAGTACGATATCACGCACCGCCGGCTCCGAATCGGTGCTGCATTTGACAGCATTGGCCCATCCCTTCCCGTCTGCTCTCGATAATGCGAGACGTCCTCGCTATGAAGCTCAATGTTAATATCTTGCTGAATTAGCTTAAGCAGCCGCGACGTGTCGGCCGCTCCACCTCACGTGCGTGCAGATAAACGAATATAGACACGAAGTAAAAATGTCCAGATCTTGCTCAGAGTTACAGAAATTCACCTGTCATATATCGGTACAAGTTCACCCAAGCAGCTACAAACGTTATAAATGCCACGGCAGATTTGCCTCACATCACGTATCACCGGTGCTGCCATTGCCATAACTATTCCCGTTGTCTAAAAAATGTACTCAACAGACGGCACCTATTAGCGTCGTCTTCTAAACTCGAGCTTTGCTTCATCCTCGTCTCATGAGATGCGCTGCATGCTTCGTCAACAGTCCCATGGTGCAGCTGCCATCTCCGAGCGCGCGGCCGTCACCGCGGCTCCACTCGGCCCGGGAGGAGGAGGCGGTTTGCCCTGCGTCTGTCCGCAGTGCGCACTAACGAGGCGACGCCGGCGACTAAACGACAGCACGGAGTCTGCCTTCCCCCGCCGCCTTTACCCAGCCAGCCAATGGCATTTCCTGGGTTTCTGGCCCCATTAACGCCGCAAAAAAACCCACCACACTTGGCCCGACACCCACCCAGCCCAGCGCTGCAACTGCCCCCTGCCCCAACCCCCCCGGGTGCCTCCCCATACGGAGCTCGAGCGCCCCACGCTCCACCCGCATACAAACCTCCGCTGCCGACTTCGCCCAGACTAATACGATCATTGTTATGTATCCATAATAGAGGGGGTTTTTTTGGGTGAGATCGCATAAATATAAATGTGTGTCGTTAAAGCCGCCACCACCTGACACAGCAAATTAGTAAGGTTTGTCACGTATACGGAACGTGCCAATTCGTTACTAGTTCAACACACCGGTGTGTCGGAGAGCAAATCCACAACATTTACAATGGCTATAAATGTATAGCCATATGTCAATTTATAACCATGTCAATTTATTGAAAACTGAAGACCTTCCCATGATGCGTTGGTAATGAAGCTTTGTTTGACCATACTTCACCATGCTGTCTGTCTACAGGGCACGTGGGGATGAATAGTCTACAGGGCACATGCGGGCGCACAACGTGGAGTGGGACACAACGCTACTGAGGGTGCTTGAGATGTAACGCTGTGATGTCTGCTTCAGCGGACTGCTCTCTGAACATCAGCTGGCCGCACTGCATGCAAGGGGAGTTCCAAATATAGATTCGTGGCATAGTATGACACAAATGGAATGACTGGAAATCATGGGGTTTGAAAATAATCTGTATTGAAAATAAAACAATAAAATACTTCGATGGAAAGTCGTAACATGCCGTTTTAAGATAGAATGTATACCGCGTTAAAACAAAGATCCCCCGTGTAGCCTTAACAGACTGTAGTGGCAAGTTCTGTTAGCGAGCACCTATGAAGGCCGGCATGGCACACGAGGGGTGGGTGGCCAGTACCACGTCCCGGCTGCCTTTGTCTCCCCAGTGGCGATATTTATGTATCGCACCAAGTACTCATTTGAGTCTGAGTCGACCTAGAGGATGCCCAGGACCGGTTCAAATAATCGTCACCGGTGTTGGCCGTGAGCGGGAATCGAACCCAGGTCGCCAGGTTCGTAGCGCAGCGTAGCGCAGCGTAGCGCCGACCGCTACGCTTTTAACACGGTGCCTCACAAACGCCACCAGCCGCGTGTCAACGGGCTCAGTGGGTAGCAGCTGACCGCTGGCCCACACAGGCATCTTACAATGTCATTTGCGTTCGTACCCTTACACGTCACTTCGGTGAGTCACCGCTATTTCTAGCGGCGTTGGCAGCTAAGTGGACTCACACTGGAACAGATTCCTCATATTTCAAATACACCTTGCAACTGTCAAACCCACAGGCCTGCACCTCTTGCTCTCCAAGGTAAACACTGCACACGCACGACACGTTACAATGATGAAAATGGACCACAGGGGTCAGCCAGAGTCACTGGTTTGTTGTTGTTGTATCTGCAAAAAACAAAGGCAATTGACTGCAGTAATGGCAATCGTTCCCCCCCCCCCACCCCCATTAGCTGCTGATGCTGCTGCTGCTCTTCCTGCAGCTAGGTGGCAGCTTGTGGTATGACGTCAGGGCCCCCCACCCTTGTCGCTCTGCCACATCGGTGGTGTGCCCGTGCGGTGGTTTCCTTGTGGCCCAACTTCAAAGTCACACCACACACACACACGCGCGTGCGTGCACTGCACTGCGTCTAAAAACAGCAAAACCCCATCAGCAGATGCCACCTTCCAAGGATTCTTAGGCTGCCTGGAATATGCCCGCCACTGTCTACATACGAACAAAGATTCTGTTCTGTGCCCTGCGCACGGCAGCAGCAGCAATACGTCCAGTAGTTGGATGCCGATGTCGGGGCTTGCTGGCCACGACGAGAGGGCTTCGGCAGAGGGTTCGGGTAAGTTTTGCTCTTCCTCCGTTGAGGGAAGGCAGACAACGGTGGATTGTTATACGGTCCACAATCAAGCTACTGTGGCTTGCCTTTAATTGCCATGACAAAGGAGATGCTGGCCATTGGCTATAAAACATGGAAACGGACGTCCTTGATTTGAATCCAGATTAAAAAAAACTGAACCAAATCGAATTATTCTTTATCAATTCATTGCAATATTGAACATTAATGGACGCTTCTTGTTTGCAAAGGGGAGGGGGGGGAGGTGTTTCCCAGCATATCAGAGCGACATTTTGGTTAACCCACCAAGCAGCACTTGTGGACGTTAAATGGTGAATCGGTGATGATGAACCCTGCAACCACGTACACAATAGGGTTTGGGCCACAGATTATTATCTGCAGAGGCCAGCCAATGATAACTTGCACTCTCTCTATTTTCAGACTGGATTGCTTCATCCGTCTATGTGGGCTGTGTATGACAACAGGCACCACCGCCGAATCTTTGGTGAGAGCCCAATAGTCTTCAGGGAAGTCTTTAAGAATGTGTGCCGCATTGTGTATAGGGGGTCCCTCTTAAATAGCACGGCGGTATGTTGAAAGGTTAAAATAATTCCGGTGATTATTTCACAAAATGTTTATCAGTCGACAGGATATTGGGAACAGGTTAAAATTAACGTGGCTTTTCCACCAAACATTGTGATTATTGTCTATAGTTAATGCAGAACTTACCGATGGACTCCACTACCACCCATACTGTGAGATCCAAAAACTCAGCTGGATGAATGCTAGCGAGGGGAAATTGATTTCATTTTCATAAATGTCTATTTTATTCACGGGGGAAATGTCCAGTGGAATAAAATAGTGGAATTCAGTGGTTCAAAAAACCTCTCCATACCTGCAAACCAGTCACCATCAACCCATCAAAAAGCGATGCGCGCCACCCACGTTCGACCCGCCGACCGCCCGCGGGATGCGAGGATTGGTGATCATAGTTGAAGCCGCTAAAAGGCCCCGGAACGTGTATGGATTAGCTAGGGTCGGGAGAGAAACAACGCATTGGGGGGAATTTGCGTTGGGTTAGGCGAGGAGCGGTTGAGGAGGTACGAGAGGAGGCGGGGGGTGAGAGACGTTACAGGCCATGGGTACGACACACGGGGCCACTCTCCTGTACCTCACACGCGCGTGTGCATTATTAACGGCAGTAAAATTGCCCCGTGTAACTACGTAGTCCGAGTGCCCCTTAACGCCAGCAAGCGGCGGATTCAGTCAAGGGCCAGCTGCGTAAGCCGGCGCGGATAATCATTCACCTACAATATAGTTATGAGATATTTATTGGAACACAACTTAACCACCTGTTCTTCATACTTAACAGTGGGGTGGGCCGTGATAGTGTGTGTCCATGCATAGAGATTGGTCTTTTGCCCTAAGTGGTGACTCTCTGCGTTTTCTCCGAACGCTTTGAAATTCTGTGTCGCGCAAGCCATGAAGGAACCAACGGATGTCCGCGACGGTCCCGCGGGCCGCTCGCCGCACGGCCTCACAGACGGCAGCGGCGAGCGGGCCGCAGGGTGGCCAACCCCTGGGTCTAATTGTAGAGCCAATTGGGGAGGGGGGAGGCGAGGGTGTCCTCACCGGCACTGCTGCCCTCCTGGGTGCAAGTTGACGGTTCGGTCCCTCGGTCCGTGGCCACCTTCCCTCCCCCCGCGGTGTACGCCTCGCTCGCCTCGCTCGCTCCTCGCCTTCACCTGGGCAGGGCGACAACGGCACCGCGACGCAACATTTCACTGCGCGCTCCTTCCTCCGGCGGTGCGGCACCGCTGCTAGCTTGGGCCGCGAGATGAAAACGCGGCGCCACGTCGCCCGTGCCCCACCCCCACCGCACGCACTCCGATTCTCGCGGTTGGCTACGTGCGGCGCGAAAGAAGTTCGGTGGTGCAGGGCCCACCCCAGCAACCTGTCTCGCGCCAGAACCTGGCGCAGCTCCTTGAGGGTGCCACAGGTGGCGAGATGTTGACTACCTCGCATGGTATACAGGAGGTCGTGGGTTCAATCCCAACTCTGACGCCTGTATATTTGGAGTTTGCGTGTCTCTCTCCCCGTGGTCCTGTGGATTTTTCTCCGGGCCTTAAGGGTTTTTCCATCCACATTTAGAATCAACATCACCACGCGTTTAGAGTATTTGGCTGCTATTTATTTCCACGTGATACGCCACTTTGCTGAGCCATCATTTGTGGCCAGGCCGCTTCTGAAAAAGAACTGCATAGCTCAGTGGGCCTGACCTGGTAAAATAAAACATAGTTTAATAGTTGCATTGAGAAAGTCCATAATTCACAGCCACGTTACCTCAAACCAGCATGGCCAAGAGGATAAATTCTGTCCTCCCTGTCAAACATTTGCGGTGACAAAATCAGCTCTGCTTTTCTTTTGCCTTATTGGCCCCTTCCACAAGCGACCGTGATGTCAGCAACCGTCGTCACGCGCATGTGAAATAAGATAGGACATCACGGACTATTCTCTTGCTCCAAAACATCCAAGATTACTCGAGACGCATGTCCAAAGTTTTTTGTGTGTGAGATTTAAGGTTTCATTTAGCAGTTGATAACCGTTAAGAATTGTTCGAAATTAAAATAAGGCAAAAATAAAAGCGAACAAATTTTTTTCCCCATAAACATTTTTGTCCTGCTTTTTCTTCTCGCAATAAATCCATGTTTTGTTAATATTTGAGCTCGCGTTCCACTGCGAGTGTAACGTGCACGCACGCACATGCACACGCACGATCCACTCTAAACAGCTGCGAATTCTAACAGCAGCATTCCGGAATCGAATGTTACAAACAAACGAGATGCACGACTACGCAGTTCATACATTTCGCCCAAAATAGACTCTGCCAGAAACCATTCCACTTTCTTTTTCAAAAACGATAATAACCGTGCACTCTTTGGCTTCTCAAGCCTACATCTGTTGCGGGGAATTTGTGAACGCTGCAGGTTTTACTTTTTTTTGTGCGCGCGGCGTGGCAGCAAGGCAAAGCACAGGGCGGCAGAATGCGTGGACGTCCCAGAGGACGGATCCAGACGGAGCACAGCGTGACGTGCAGGGCTCGCATCTGGCAGCGTTCCTTCTCTGCGGGTTTTTTTACCGAGGAAAAAAACCCGCCACCCGCTTGGCCAGAAAGCGCTTAAATAAGTAGCCCTCATTAATCCGCATTGCATCAACACGGCCATTTCCACCTAAGTATGAGATGGTGCTTCCAGACATCTGCAGAAAAAAATATTTAAGGCCCAGGATTGGATGGACATTTTCGCGATCCCGGCAGCTAGGCTGATGATCCTGGTTGTTGGAGCAACCAGAGTTGACTCTGCACCCAATGGTTAAACGCGAACGGATGGCTCTCCAACATCACTGCACCGGTGTGCTGAAGCAGTCATAAAATGGCACTTTAAATGAGCTCTGTCAGGTGGAGGAGGCTCCGGACCGGTTCAAATAATCGTCACTGGTGTTGGTGGCCGTGAGCGGGAATCGAACTCGGGTCACTGGGTTCATAGCGCAGCGTGCTAACCGCTGCACTACACTACCTCGAGTGATGAATGACACAACCGGTCCGTCACACAGTCTATTATTGCGTATGATGGCAGCAGAAATATTTTCAGGAGCCAGATGCCAATGTCGTGGGTCTGCTGCTCGCCACGACGAGAGGGCTTCAGGACAGAGAGTTCGTGTAGTTATGCTGTTCCTCCTACACTGCTGAAGGAGCGCCAGACCACAGTGGGTTTACTAAAGGGTCCACACTTTGTGTCGCATGGCCACAGTCACGCTACTGTGGCTTGTCTCTTGAATTTGCCACCAGGAAGGTGTTCCCATCGGCCTGTTAATGTTCTGAGTTTACCGTCCACCACCCGGTAAACACGGTGCTGTTTTGCAATGTGCAGCCTACTAACCTACATTCCTGTTTGCGAGTCACCTATCGACAGCATAACTTTCGAGAGGGCGATCCTAAATATCGTTGGTGGCCTAAAGAGCCGACGCACGCACGCAGGACTACCGTGCGTACGTGGGATTGGGTCCCACACGTGTTGTTTTGTCATCGGAAACTTAAGAGGAGAACAATCAAGACGCACCCCTTCCCTCCGCTTTTAGACATCATCGACAAAACGTCACAAAATATGAAAAAAAAAGTCATCGTTTGTCACGTTACGAATGTCGAAGATTACAACGTGACCGCTTAATCGGACCTAACTGCTCCAAAGCTCCAAGCAATATGCTTGCACCACCTACACCCACGTCTACGATTAAGCACGATTGGCTACGCACAGCGTAGAAATAAGTTCAACATACATACCTACATCATACCCATACTACATTTTTTTTTATTTTAGAGAGGAGGGGGGAAAACCACACCGTTTGTACGTTTTAAACGTCTAAACCACGGGTCGTTTTGCAGGACTCTGCACAACAGCAGAAACGCATTCGCCTGGCGGGTGGTGGGGAGGGGTGCAGGAGGAACTGCCGAGGAAGGCGGCGGCGGTGGTGGGAGAGCAACGGGGAAACGATTTAAGGGGAGCGGAGAACAAAACCCGAGCCGAGCACCTGGAGTGGGTGGGTGGGGGTGGTGAGCCGGCCGGGTGGTGGCCATTTAGAGCGACGTGCGCACCGCCACGTCTCGCGTTCGCGAGCGACCGCGGAGTAAAGTGAAAACCGCCCCTCCGGCTTGTGCCGTGGCCAGTCTGGGTTAAAAATGGCTACCGAGTAACCGAGCGTCATCCCGCATTCTCGTGCATGACAAGGATCCAGCGGTGACCGCAATGCTTGCTTCTCAAGCTCGGACTTTCTTCTCCATCTCTGATGATGGCGCTTGCACTTCATACCCGCATCCCCCCTCTCATTCATCTCTCCCTATGTCGCCTCCTCGCCTCTCCATGTCAGCGGTCATCTGCGTGCCTCCTCGACGGTGCCCCTTGCTCCCTTCCTGCAGCGATTGTCACATTTTGTGATGCCGAGTAGCTCCACCGCTGCGGGCCGAGTAGTAACGGTGCCGAGGACAGCGCGTTACGCAGCGAATTGTCGCTCGTACTCGGCAGCATGTCCCAGGGCATTTCCAGTGATTATCTGTAGAATATTAGAATTGGCATGTTTGAAATAAATATTAAATATATGTCCAATGCTTCATCCCTGTGAATTCGTTCACATGGGTACCACTCTATGGGCAGTCAGCAGTGGTTATCCTCTTTACAACCATCGTGCAACGGTGGTGAGATGTTATCTCCCTCGCCTGGTATGCAAGAGGTCGTGGGTTCGATCCCGATCCTGACGCCTGTATATTTGGAGTTTTTGTGTTCTCCCCGTGGTCGCGTGGATGTTTCTCTGGGTCCTTCGCTTTTTCCCTCCACATTTAGAAACATGCATTTAGAGTATTTGTTTGCTCTAAATTTCCACATGATAAGCCACTTCTTTGAGCTGTCATTTGTGCTCAGTTCACTTCTGAAAAAGAGCTATAACGCTCAGTGGGCCTTACTTGGTTAAATAAAAATAGTTTACAGTTTAGTTTACAGACTTTCCCCTGCCATAATAATGTGGAATGTCCACACATCTATGAAGGATGTAAGCTGGAGATCGGCATCACCCATGTGCCCTTTTGAGTAAGACACTAGTTTTGTTTTATCATTCACCATTTAACAAAACCATTTTACCAAATTGCTTCTTTGTAAGCGGAGCACGGACCGGGGTAAGACGCTCGCACGCTGTGAACAACCGTCAGAACGACACACGTCAGCGGACCATTGCCCAATCAAAGATGCTGTGGCAAGTCATCATTAACCGTAGTAGCTGCACACGTCAGCGGACCGCAGATGGACCTCGTGGGATTTGATGGCGCGCAGCTAAACGAGTCTGAGAGGCGCCGAAACAGAATGGGGCCTTGAAAATTGCAAAGTCAGTCACGATGATAATTAGCTTCCAGACAAACAAATAGCCCTGCCAAAAAAGAACGCAAACGTTCCAAATGCATTCTTGAGGCCACTAAAGCAGCGGAGACAGAAATAGGGCACTTGGATTTTTTCTTACTTGTTTCCAAAAAATAATCAAGCAATTAAAAAAATGTAAACAGTAATTTGAAGAGTTTGGCCAAACTCCGGTGCAATTTCCCTAATGAAAAACAAACGGACGTTCAGTAAACGCCACTTACAAAAAATGCATTTAGGCAATTTCAAGAGCGTCCAGCAGATACAGATCTGTTTTGTGCCAGAAACATATTTTGAAATTTTAAAAAGCATTGAAAGAGGGTGTAAAAGAGGTGCGCGCACACACACGCGCACATCTTGAAGCTGGACAGCCAAACGAAGGAGGGAAAACGGTGAGTGTTTGGTGTAATTAAGGGTGGAAGCAAGTGCTAAAAGAGCCAACTGGACTACCTACGGGGGCAATCGCTGTGACGTTAGCCACAAGTGCCTCTCGCCTGTCAGTCGGCCCTCGCAAGGAGGCCAACTCGATCCGCGGTTGGCATTAGACACCCGGGACACGAAGGAAACCTTGAAGACACAACTCGGTCGAGGCAAACTTTTGATTGTCTGAATCAATTTTGTTTTTGAAATGCTCTCAGAGACCACGGTAAGAAGCTCGGTGAGTGTGGGCAGGTATTTATAGCAGCTATAGGCCTTAGCGCTGTATCAGATATCGGAACATCAGCTTGTGTGAAGCCTCGTTTCTAAAGGCCAGGGGGATGACTGTGGAAATTGCACATTGGTTGAGG